TTTGACCAATTTTCAAAACCGCACCCGCCCGCCATCCGCTGATTGGCCGATACAAGGCGCTGCTGATGACAGCCGCGAGACTAGAAAGCTCTCAGAATATCAGCAGTGAACTCCGTCTCCGGACAAAAATAAATAAACAGCCTAAATTAAACGCACTTCGGCAAACCTGACCTTATCTGATAGGCTACTGTACAATATGTTCATTGTAGCCTAATAGAAAACACATTTTGGCACATAATTTCAACATGCTGCTATTGTATGGGGCGCCAACAATGTTACGTTACAGTTCTCCATTACGGACGTGAACACTCAGAAAGCGGCACTAAAAGACTTTCAAACTTTCACAGAGGCCTCAAAAAAGCACAAAGCCTTTCTTTAAAGCGAATTTCGTTTTGTATTAATTGTATCTTCATTTTAATCCATGTTTCATTAACCAATTTCCTGGATTTAATAAATAGGCTAAAAAGTAAATAGCCTAGTCTATCTTGATTGTGTAAGCTATTTTTTTATTATAAAATATTAGGCTGTGTATACCGACATGGAACAGTTATTAATATTAGATTTCATCTGTCTTTTGTAGGCATAGCTGATGGCGCACCAACGAGTGACTTCGGCGTTTCTTTAATATCGAGGCTCTATAGTTTATTATATGATTGTTAGGCCTGTTGATGGTATAAAATGAATTGCACTGTGCCTGAAAAAGATGCGCTCTCCGCTCTCTTCCCCTGCATTCAAAGTTAACGGGAGTCTTCAGAACAGGCTCGTCCACTCCAGCGTCAACAGCACCGAACTTAGCTCCAATGTCAATCAACGTCTGGGCTCCTTTACCAGAAACAATATCGAACGGGCGCATATCAAGAGAGCGCACAACTTATTCCAGACAACACTTTTCTGACCTTCTATTTCCTTTGTTTTTAATTCTCCTTTTTTTGAGTTTGTCACGTACCTCCTTCGCTTGCCATCTCTGATAACAACAAGCAGTCTCTGCATAGACTCGAGCTGATGAAAATTTGACTATTTCAAAGTGTGCTCGATTTTTTTCTTTTTGGATGTAGGTATATAGTCAGATAACAATATTTAACAATTTATATTTTTTCATTTGATTGGTTCAACCGCCCGCCACCTGCCCGAATTTAATTTAAATATTTTATTTCGTCCCGTCATCCGCCCGATCGGAGTCCGCGGCTGTAACCGCCAACCGCGCATCTCTACCGTATTCATAAAGATTCTAGAAAACTCTTAATTTAGCTTAAAAACTGTTACGTAGGAGTCTTCGCTTAAGAGCGATTCGGGACCGATCTGAGAGCAACTCTGAGTAAGGAAAAGACAACAACGTTCATCTTAGTGAGGAGGCGGGGTTGACCCCGTTGCTATGTGTGACACAATCTTTTGAAGACTGTGATTGGTTGGTTGTCCAAGAAGGAAAAAAAAAAGAGTGATTTTAAGTATAGGGTCTAAGCCTTCACTTTGAAATTACATGCGCAATTTTTCCTATTTGACCGTTCTCTCTCTCTCTCTCTCTCTCACACACACACACACACACACACACACACACACACACACACACACACACACACACACACACACACACACACACACATTATGTATGTCTATACAAATCTTTTTTTTTATTTACCATGCTGTTAATTTCCTATAAGGTGTTTGATTGGCTTAGAATGATAAAACGTGTTCCACTCTTTGCAATTACACTGATTGCTGGCATGTCTATTTAAGTGGTGGTTTGAATGTTGAATGTGTGTGTGTGTGTGTGTGTGTGTGTGTGTGTGTGTGTGTGTGTGTGTGTGTGTGAGCACGAAGCATGCGACGGCTTCTGTAATCGACTGACCGCATGAAAACTGAAGCAGATCCTCATATAAGAAACACATTTCAAGCAGAAAGTGTGTGTGAGTTTCTACAAGGGCTTCGGTGACGGCCGGCTCTAGTCTCTGCAGGCTTGGGATTATTTTTGCATGGCTTTTACAAACATTTTTTAATATCAAGGACCCCCATAATGATGATCCTAAAATATAACGGCAACTTTGTGGAGATGTAGCAAACCCTTTTATTTGACATGTTTTTAAAGTAATCCCATAATCCTCTCAGCACATGGAGCCTGTGATCGAATCATCTATACAGCGGCGGTCTCTCGTCCTTCATACGCCACACGTGATTCTCACAACCTTTCCAACATGGTTCAGTTCAGGACAGGGCTTTTCAAACTGCGCTCCGGTCTGGGAGTGTCGAAAAAGCTTTACTGTTTCATTCTGCTCTCTGATTAGGATATTAATTATGATTATTCGATGACAGACATAGTATAATATACCAAATCTGTGAAGTATTTCAAAAAATAGTGTTTTTACACAAGTTTTCAAGAAGATTGTCCTTGTGTGTGTGTGTATATATGATAAAAAAATATTATATTTTATATATATATATATATACACTCACCGGCCACTTTATTAGGTACCCCATGCTAGTAACGGGTTGGACCCCCTTTTGCCTTCAGAACTGCCTCAATTCTTCGTGGCATAGATTCAACAAGGTGCTGGAAGCATTCCTCAGGGAGTTTGGTCCATATTGACATGATGGCATCACACAGTTGCCGCAGATTTGTCGGCTGCACATCCATGATGCGAATCTCCCGTTCCACCACATCCCAAAGATGCTCTATTGGGTTGAGATCTGGTGACTGTGGAGGCCATTTTAGTACAGTGAACTCATTGTCATGTTCAAGAAACCAATTTGAAATGATTAGAGCTTTGTGACATGGTGGAAGTAGCCATCAGAGGATGGGTACATGGTGGCCATAAAGGGATGGACATGGTCAGAAACAATGCTCAGGTAGGCCGTGGCATTTAAACGATGCCCAATTGGCACTAAGGGGCCTAAAGTGTGCCAGGAAAACATCCCCCACACCATTACACCACCACCACCAGCCTGCACAGTGGTAACAAGGCATGATGGTTCCATGTTCTCATTCTGTTTACGCCAAATTCTGACTCTAACATCTGAATGTCTCAACAGAAATCGAGACTCATCAGACCAGGCAACATTTTTCCAGTCTTCAACTGTTCAATTTTGGTGAGCTCTTGCAAATTGTAGCCTCTTTTTCCTATTTGTAGTGGAGATGAGTGGTACCCGGTGGAGTCTTCTGCTGTTGTAGCCCATCCGCCTCAAGGTTGTGCGTGTTGTGGCTTCACAAATGCTTTGCTTCATACCTCGGTTGTAACGAGTGGTTATTTCAGTCACTGTTGCCCTTCTATCAGCTCGAACCAGTCTGGCCATTCTTCTCTGACCTCTAGCATCAACAAGGCATTTCCGCCCACAGAACTGCCGCTCACTGGATGTTTTTTCTTTTTCGGACCATTCTCTGTAAACCCTAGAGATGGTTGTGCGTGAAAATCCCAGTAGATTAGCAGTTTCTGAAATACTCAGACCAGCCCTTCTGGCACCAACAATCATGCCGCGTTCAAAGTCACTCAAATCAACTTTCTTCCCCATACTGATGCTCTGTTTGAACTGCAGGACATTGTCTTGACCATGTCTACATGCCTAAATGCACTGAGTTGCCGCCATGTGATTGGCTGCTTAGAAATTAAGTGTTAACGAGCAGTTGGACAGGTGTACCTAATAAAGTGGCCGGTGAGTGTGTATATATATAATATATATATTAGTACTCTACTGGTGCATAGGAAACAAATTTAGTCTGTTTACTACAACATTCAACAACAATTTGGGGGTCAGTAAGATTTTTTTTTTATTAGAATTGAACACTTTTATTCTGCAAGGATGCATTAAATTGATTAAAGTGACAGTAAGGACATTTATAATGTTACAAAAGATTTTATTTCAAACAAATGCTGCTCTTCATCAAAGAATCCTGAGAAATAAAATGTTAAATCTGAAGCTGCACAACTGTTTACAACACTGATAATAATCATAAATGTTTCTTACTCGGAAATATTATAAATATTAATTATATGTTTGAGACATGCACACACACAAAAAATCGTACTGTTTATTAATATTTTGAATTAATTTGGTTTTTGTATTTTTCATCTTCATTTAAAGTTGTATTAAAGTTTTAGTAGGTTTTTTTATTAGTCATTTTTTTGTGATGTCTATAGTTTTTGCAAATTTTATTTCAGTTTTAGTTATTTTAGTACATCAAGTTAAAGTAAATGAAAATGAGAAATGTTGCCTTGGTAACTAACTGAAATAAAAACTTTAAAACTTTATTTCAGCTAAAGTTTATTTTATTTTAAGAAATGAAAATATAGTTTTTATTAATTTTTAATAGTATTATTTTTTTCACTTTTAATTAGGGCCCAAGCCCAAAGGGCGAAGGCCCTATTGTTTTCCTTAGGATTATTTATTATTATTATTATTATTATTATTATTATTATTATTATTATTATTATTATTATTTTTCTGCTACCTTTTGGACACTTTTGGAGGCCTTAACATGCTCAAAAACTCCTGAAACTTTGCACACATGTCAGAACCCGCGGCCATCAGGGCCGGGCTGAAGATGGTACCCGGGCGTGGCAGGGGGGCTCGACAGCGCCCCCTGGAACGGGGTCCGAAAACATGGTCCATAAATCAAACACGCTTGCATGTAATAATATGAAACTCGGTACACGTGTAGATCTCCTCGTTTCATATATACTTCACACTCTTACTTTTTACCCCAGCCCAACAGGAAGTCGGCTATTTAGGGTTGTTGGTAAAACACACGCAATGGAATGTGAAATACTCCTCCTAGAGAATTCAAACAAACGGCACGAAACTCGGTCAGCATGAAGTCAAGACATTGAGGATGAAAGTTTGCGAGGGGATTTTTGATATCTCGAACGGTTTGGCCGTGGCGAGGAAACGAATTTATGGCGAGAAACAACAAACAAGAAGTGCGTTATAACTTCTGCATACATTAACTGATCTTGATGAAACTTCAGCAGTGTGATCGCTGTAAGAGGCCGATCACATGGATGTGACTATTGTGAGTCAAAGTTATAGCGCCACCAACTGGCAGCAGGAAGTGTGTCACTTTCTAAATGCTTTTGACAAAAGTGGGGGGGTTAGTTTTATCTACAGTAACAAAACTCGATATGTATATTGTACTCTTCGAGCCGGACAACTTTCTAATTTACCGTAATTAGCTACGACCAACAGGAAGTCAGATATTTTGGTTTGAATGTGGATTTCAGATTCTGAGTTTTTAGCTACTCCTCCTAAGTAGTTTATTTTATTCATGCCAAACTTTTTCAACATGATGAAAATACATTGAAGATGCTAAATTGTGAACAGATATTGAATATCTCAAACGGTTTTGCTATGGTTGAGGGATTCAAGTAATGTCAAAAAAAGAATCAGGGCATGTCTCATATCTTTCTAAAATGTAATTATACACCATTTATTTTTATATAAAATTATACAAATATTAGAACTAAACCCATTTTATTCCTTTTTTTCAATTTAAGAATTATTTTTAAGTTTAAAAACAGCCAGAATGGTTGTTTAGTCAAAAATAATAATAATCCAAATCATATATAGTGCTATACTGCCCTCTTGTGTTCAAAATCAGGTAGGCCTATTGAATTTATAAATATTTATATATTAGGGATGTTACTATGGGAATATTTTCCCACCGGTTAATCAACGTGTGATTGTGTAAACCAATTGTGTAAACCTCCCGCTGGGGGGTTTAAAAACACTAACTTGAAAGCGAAAGTATAATATGGACGTCCGCACAGAAATTGAAATGGTGGCGCTCGAATGAATTCCTATGGAAGTAGAAATTAACTAAACGTTCGCTCTGTTCTGCTCGCTCGTCGCCATGGACGCGCACCATTATGAATGCCAGTGCAGCCGCATACTTTTTAGTGTCACTAAAATTAGTGCAATTTCGGGGGCCGATTGCTTGAATTGTGAGTTCAATAGTCTATTATTTTTCACGGAAAACACAACAATAAAAGAGTACAATGACAGATTCGCTTAAATAGGCGTTTTTACATAAAATAGCCTATTCCATCATCATCTTTTCAGTCAGCTCTTCACTCTCGTGATTAATGAAATTTGACTCCTGTTGCTGATATTTGCTGCAACTTTCGTTCAGCTCACAATTTAGTAAGCAAACACGTTTCAAATGTGTTTTTATTTTATTTTTGTGTATGTGTGTGTATATGTATGTATATATATAAATATAGCTTATGTTTCAAATATGAGTTAATTAACAATCGTTGGAAAGAATGATACTTTTAAACATAACACTAAACCGTCATTAGGTGTCGCCAGGCGACCGTCTTAATGAGCGAGTCATTGATTCATTCGTTTGAACGACTGAGTCATTCATGAATGAGATAGATGTTTATGGATTGATTGGTCATTGAATCTTTGAGTCAACCGATTCGTTCAAAATGCTGAATCATTCAGTAATGAGAACGCGTTGCTGTGAGATGCGCGATGGTTCTGCTGTGATCTTTGTTTAACTATTTTCGCTGCTGAAACAGAAAAAAAGTCAATATTGCATGTAAAATGTAAGTGATTTGACTTGTGTGTGTGTGTGTGTGATTGTGTGTGTGATTGTGTCTGTTACAGTGATAAGAGTTTAACCCTTGTTAAACTTTAGGCCTTGTCTTTTTGGATATATATCTTTTTATATTAAAAAATAGTCATACAACCCATATATTTTAAATGTATTGTTTGCTTTAAATTACATTAAGATTGTATGTTTGGTAATTGAACCTGAATGAATTTTAAATGAATGTGCTATATTTCAGATCATATATTTGTTTTCCTTAAAATTTGAACTAACACTAACTTTATTCTCATCTGAATGATAGATTATTTATTTCTGTATAAAATAAAAACACATTTGATTTTTCTTTTTTAATCAATGTAGAATGTGTAACTGAAAAAATAAACAGATTAGGGCTCTGTTTGATGACAAGAAATGAAAACCAATGCGATATGATGAATGTCCAAAAGATGGCTCCCACAGACTGTTTTTAAATAGGATTGTTTGATATTTTTTGCTTTTAAACTGTGTGTGTGTGTGTGTGTGTGTGTGTGTAAGAGATTTTGGTTGGGTGACAGTTGTAGTTTACAGTTTGACAAGAGTTTATAGCTTGACAAAAGCACAATGTTGTGTTTTATTGCAAGTGTACACAAATATAAGTAAACACTTTGCAGTTTGAATAATGTCCTGTATGAACAAAAGGACGGAGTATGTTTTTATGTCTACATTGTTCAATTACGCCACACACACACACACACACACACACAAACACACACACACACACACACACACACACACACACACACACACACACACACAAACACTATTTTTCTAATCAGATCAGGCAAGTAATATTCTGTCTTGTCTCTTAAAAAAACAATATATATATGTATATATATATATATATATATATATATATATATATATATATATGTGTGTGTGTGTGTGTGTGTGTTTGTGTGTGTATATATATAAATATAGCTGCGAGCAGCGATGAAAGGGCCAAAGCCGGCGGCACCGCCACCCCGGTTATAGCGCCACCAACTGGCAGCAGGAAGTCTGTCACTTTCAAAAAGCTTTGAAATCACCTGATTGCTTCAAACTTCACTACTATGATGTAAACACACGGCAGATGTAGACCTGGATGTAGACCTGACCTTTCAGAAGGTTGCTCTCGCATACTTTGTGGTTGATATGTGCCCTCAATGCACACTTTTGCAGAGCCCACACTGATACAAGCTCTACAGCACACTTCTTTTCGACAGTCAAAGCAGGGTTACGTTTTTGCACGTCGTGCACAATAACCCTAAAGGCACCAGGGTGGCGGTGCCACCGGCTTTATATATATATATATATATATATATATATATATATATATATATATATATATATATATATAAATATAGCTGCGAGCAGCGATGAAGGGCCAAAGCCGGTGGTACCGCCACCCCGGTGCCTTTAGGTAACTAAAGGCACCGGGGTTGCGGTGCCACCGGCTTGGGCCCGTAATCGCTGCTCGCAGCTATATTTTGATTTATTTTACTACATCAAGTTAAACCAAACGAAAATGGGAAGTGTTATGGCAACTAGCTGAAATAAAATAGTTTTTTAAATTGTTGTAGTTAACTATAATAATAGAAATGAAAATATAGTCTTCTTTTTTCAGTTTTAATTTGATTTATTTTACTACAAGTTAAACCAAACGAAAATAAGTGTTGTTATGGCAACTAGCTGAAATAAAATAGTTTTTTTAAATGGTTAACTATAATACCCCTGCCTGATCTGCATATACGCATAAATTCCCACAACCAATCGGCTGTGTGATGGGAACCGGAAAATGCATAGAGAAATAGCGCGTACGTAACAGAGCGGTTCATTAATCAGCCGCGCGGAGGAAAAACAACACACTAGGAACGACAGCTGCTGCAAAGCCGGCTGTGTGTGTGTGTGTGTGTGTGTGTGGAGTGGATGATGTCACAGCACAGCAGTGAGAGGCTGCAGAGCTCTCACACACACACAGATCCTCGTGCTGATGGGATTGCTGTGGCGTATCGGGGGCCGGCGGGCGGCCCGTAGTGTGTGTTGTCAGACATGAGTCCGGGTTTCGTGCTGCTGTTCGTCTTTGGCTTCGTGGGGGGGGCGGTGGTCATCAACTCCGCTGTTCTCGTGTCTCTCTCTGTTCTCCTGCTCGTGCATTACTCCGTCTCCAACCGCCTGCCCGCCATCACACACTCCCTGCCCCGGATCAGCAGGTACGCACACACACACACCGGTGTTTCTTCTGTTTCACAGGCTGTGTCGGATCACACGAGTTTAGATCACTCAGAAATATGATCTTGCACATGCGATCATGGACCCTAAACACAAAAATTTTAAATGCAGCTATTTTTGTATAAAAACCCAATTTATACTGTAAAAAGAAAAGTGATAAGGAAAATTAGGCATGCACGATATATCGGTATCGGTCCATATATGTTCATTTTCTATGTTGTTGTTATCGGCCCGATAAGAAAATTAGGCTGATATTTAATTAAATAATAGTGATAAATAATGTATTATTTCCTTCGGCTGAGACACTTCAGATGCGCACTGTTCGACACTGATTGAAATATATACTTTAAAAGGGAAAATAGAGTTCAGTCTGTCATATCGGCTACATAAAATTATAATGAGAATGTTATAATTGTGTGATTGAGACGTGGCTTTTAATGGTGAAACTTTTGTTTTTGTAATCAGGCTTTCAAAAATTATATAAAAATTGGATTTAGATTTATCAGCCAAAATATCGGTTATCGGCTTTCAGATATAAAGAATTATCGGTTATCGGTATCGGCCACAATTTGTATATCAGTGCATCCCTAATGAAAATATTTACTTTTTTTATCATGCAACATTGCATTTTTTTTCTACTCACTATACCGTTAGATGTATTATTTATTTATTTTAATCAAATTTAGTAATTTGTTTTTTGTTTTCCTCTAAACTTTTCCACGGACCCCAGTTGGAAAACCTTTATGTTATTGTTATTGGCCCGATAAGAAAATTAGGCCGATATATTAAATAATAGTGATAATGTATTATTTCCTTCAGCTGAGACTCTTCAGATGCGCACTGTTTGACATTATGGTTTTGAGCTGATTGAAATATGATTGGAATCACTTTGAAAAGGAAAATAGAGTTCAGTGCAACATATGCAGAGCAAGTCTGTCATATCGGCTACATAACATTATAATTGTGTGATTGGGACACAATTATAACCTTTAGTGGTAAAACTTTTATCGGCTTTCAAAAAAAAAAAAAAAAATATCGGTTATCGGTATCGGCCAAATTTTTTATATCAGTGCATCCCTAATGAAAATATTTACTCTCTATCATGCAACATTGCATTTTTTTCTACTCACCATACCATTAGATGTATTATTATTTATTTATTTTAATCAAATTAATTTTTTTGTTTTCCTCTAAACTTTTCCACGGACCCCATTTTGAAAACCTCTTGTTATATTGGACTTTGATTCTCTTCATCTTAAGCCTCTTTTCCCCCTCTATTCCTCGGGTTACTGTTGTTCCTCATGTGTCTGTTAGCTCTTCGAGAACGGCTAGCATGAGCGGTGTTGTGCTGCGCCAAGACCCGGCAGATCTGAGAGTTCATTTCTCTTGTCAACATTTGCACTGGATCCCTTCTCATTCTAACTGGCTTATTGTTCATTATGGCTTCAGTTTGTTCAGTCTTCTGTTCATTCTTGCACTAGAGCTGATATTGTTAGATGCTTTGACGAGCTTTCTGTTCGTTTATTCCAAGATGTTAAACTGGTTTCAGGGTTTTAGCGTCACGTGTTCAGGTGATTTATTATAATAGTAAAGTAAAGAAACGGAGCTGTTCACCCAAAGCTGATATTTTCACACATATAATGTATCATGTAGAGAGTTCAAGGTTGAATATTCAAGGTTCAATTAATATTTTCATGAAGATGATGAAAAATATACTAGTAGAACTACTCCGTAAGAGATTAATTCTTTTATTGAGCAAGGATGCATTAAATTAATCAAATATTACAGTTTATATTTAATGTTACAAAAGATTATATTTTAAGTAAACGCTGTTCTTTTGCATGAATCCTTTCAAAAACATTTTAAAACATCTTACCGACCCCAAACTTTTGAACTGTGTAGTGTATTTTAGAGGATTTGGGGGTCAGAATTTGCTTAATTGTCATAATGCTGTTTCAATACAAAAATCACAAATAAGGTTTCCAAAAATAAGCTTAATTTTATCTCTATACAAAATGTTTATTTTACTCTTATTAGTGGTAATTCTGGAAAAGTTGACCGTAGACTTATCATAAGCCAAGGTAAAAGCTATTATATGCATTGTATAATAAATATAATTTGAGTAAAATGGATTAAAAAAAGTCATTTAATGCCTATTTCTGACTGTGTTATATATTATCATAACCATTGAACTTCAGTAGATGATATTTATTGATTAAATCTGAAAATGAAATGCTCGCTTTTTATGTTTCTGACTTCTGAACGCATCAAAAATGGTCTAATCTAGTTTTTTTTATAATTTAGTTGAAGACAACTGGACTTGGCTTGTTCTTGCAATCCAAACATTATATTAGTTGCTTTTGAACAATTTCTATTGGTCTAATAATTTTCATGCTTTTATTAATGAATTGGAACAGAAACTTCCTGCGCTGTAATAGAGCTTTTCATGAATTGGACTTTGGACCTGAAGTTTCTCTACTCTGTTAAATCATGACCTTTACTGTGTGATTGACACCTCGTGTTATGTGACGTGTGTGTGTGTGTGTGTGTGTGTGTGTGAGTACAGCACGGGTATTGATGTACACGTCAGATAGAGATCCGACACAGTACATGCAAGCCTCACTGCATTGATTTACTCCCTTTTATTTTTTACTTAAAAATTGGCAAGAAATCAAAATTGACCCTATTTACTTTGTTAGAGCACATTAGGGCTGTGGTGAACAATTCACCCGTGCAAGTTAAGTCACTCTCAAAAAAAAGTGTATTTAATCACAATAACTGGACTAACCAGCAGACCAATCGCATCACGATATTACTTTTATTAAAAAAGAAGACATGCACATAAACTGCGATGGAAACACATTTACTGAATCAATCCCTCGATGTGCAACAAAACGCTCAGCGGAGGCTGTGATTGGATAACTGGAGTAACGAGTTGACCAATGGCGTCGCAGCGTCTCTAATGTTGGTTTGGTGTTTCCGAAACGCCGGAGTCGAAGTGTGTGATCAGAATGATTGGGTGTAATTCCCTCCAGAAGCGTCTCACACACACGAGTGTGTTCCCGAACACCAGCGTCCGAACACAAGAACACGACCGTTTATTGATTCATTAATTTATAATGGAGGGAAAAGGTGCCTTTTATTTATATTACAGATATTTTTCTTGGCAATTTCCCAGGAAGTGACGATTTTGTTCTCATAGGATTGAAACGCGGATTTATTTTGCAAATGTTTTATCCCATAAGTGCATAAAACGTATGCATAAGCACAGTTCAATTCAGTTAAATTTTTTATTTCTGTGTCATGCCAAACATTTGGCCCATCCCACATGGGATTTCAAGACACCACAAACTTAATTTACAAACATCTTCCGGTCGCATATACAAATCATTCGGAAAAATAAATGAATACAAATTAATATGTACACGCATGTATACACACACACACACACACAGCATACACTGTAAAAAATGCTGGGTTGTTTTAACCCGATTTTGAGTCAAATATAGACAAACTCAAACATTGGGTTACAAATTTAATGAAAAAACCCAATTGTCCATATTTGACCCAAATTTGGGTTAAAACAACCCAGCATTTTTTAGAGTGTATACAAACAAATCCTCATCTACAATCATCTCGATAAAGGGCTTTTTTCCTCTTCTCCCAGGCTTTCTCAAGATAGTTGGCTAATTTATATGTTTCTTATGCGAACAGCCATCTCAATCTTTGAGCATCATCCATATTTACCAAATCAATCTCTGGTTTTATCGTACAAAACAAAAAAATCACAATAAAATGGACAGTAGAAAACAAAATGGAACTCATTTTCTATATAATTCAAACGACACATGATGGGACAGATCCGTTTTTCCTCTTCTAAATTAACATTATAATACAACATACCGGTAATTATATACAACATAATTCTCTGTGCCATATTCTGGTTTTAGCATCACAAAAATACGCAATTTTGGCTTATCTCATATATCGTTAGCAAGTTAAATTCTCAACTTTGGATGGAAACCCGCTTATGAGGAGCACTGGACTTTGCATTATCACTTCCTCAAATTTGGTTCTTGTTTCCAATCCGTACTTTATCTTTACTGTACAGTTTGAGCTGAATCGAGTGAATCCTGCTCACGTGAGCTGATCCCTACAGAATGTGCCGTCAGCAGGTTCAGTCTGAATGCAGATCTATGACAACACGAGAGGGACAAAAGAAGCGTCTCTCCTAGAGGAGCTCTGGTGTTAGCGCTGGCGTCGTGTCGCTCATGATTCTTGCATGCAAAAACTCTGTATGGCAGGCAAAAACATCCCATAGACATGCATTGAGACATGTAAGAATCAAAAGATCTTAAAGATTATTCAGGAATATTATTGATTTAACTGCACTGACACTATCGGTAATGACACTATTGTCTTCTGTAGAGCTGTTTATAGCTAAGTTGGATTAGTTTCATAATTGATAAATGCAACATCGACACTGTTATTGAACTGAATTGAATCCGCATTTAAAGGTGAAGTATGTAAAGTATAGAAAAATAGGCATATTTTCAAACAAGCTTGTAAGCGCTCCTTATGTAACTCATATATCACAAACACAGCTCTTATGGGTGCTTGTGAAGGCATGTCTCAACAGGTAAAAGTAGGCTAGTTTCAATAAAAGGTCCAACATATGGTATCTAATATATTTAATGTAATATATAATGAGTAAGCAATAGAGACTAAAACACTCTGTCTGGAGCGAACATGTGCGTCTCGCTTATAATAAACCCATCTAAAGTATCTGAACAGGGCGCATTTTTTGACATAACGCGCCACAACTGATTAAAGCTTTTAATGTTGTTTATGTGTCTATGTGGTGTTTTTAATACGCTTTAAGACACACCATGTGTAAGTTCATAAGTCGACAGCATTGCTGAGTATTTTCTGCTTAAAACTGCAGTGAACCAATGACAGTCTCAAAAACACGGTTTGAAATCGCTGGTGTTTCTGACGTCACAAACGACCTTGTAACCAATCAGATCAACGTGTGATCGTCAACCAGTGGATCTCTGAGCTGAGGGAGTGAGTGGAGGCGGGGATCATTTGCATATTCATAGAGCCGCGCATACTAAATGAGGCGAGGGTGTCGAGTTACATTCAAGATATTTTAAGGCATAAAGAATATCTTTCAAGGAAAAAACATTTAAATATGTCAATTTGGTGATTCAAAGATGAGTGTTAAGGGATAAAATGATTGACTATGGTATTGACACATCCATTGTAATGCGTAGCATCACTTTGACGTATTCCTGACCTGTGTAATCTCTGAAGGTCTGAATGCAGTGACTTTGCACTTCTGTAACCGAAGCTGAATGTATTTTCATCAGTCATGGCTAAACACCTTCTGGCTCCGCCTACTTACAGTAGCCACGCCCCAAACTCTCACCATTGGTTGAACTGGGAAGAGATTGACAGATCTGAACGGATGCTCTCAATGTTTTGATGGTGTCTTGGAGGATCAATGTTTAAACTTTTAGGGGAGATAAACCTGTGAATGGCATATTAATAGCAGCAACTGAACCAAAAAACTGGAAGAATGCATTTTAACATTAAAAAAAATCGTACATACTTCAACTGAATGGCAGCTTACATTAGATTTGTTAATGTCGTAAAATTAATAAATTATGAACATGTTATTTTCCTGTTTAATAATGTGCAGCTGCTTTGAAAAGATCTGTATTGAATAAAGTGCTGTAGAAATAAATGTGACTTGATTTAACTTGCGACTTAGCAACGCCCTAGTTACCACTCCAAACCCTAGTAACACATTTAAAAACGACTTCAAACACTTTATGAAATACTGGGAAAGTTGTGATGCCAATTTTACCATAGTGGCTGTAAGTTTTCACCATAAAGCACCACTCACTATCTCGCTTAAACCAATGTAATTCAGAAACTTGTTTCCCAATACTTGATATGAAATTGGTGTGAAAAATTCACATCTGAATACAGGACTTATGTAATATATTATGTTTTCGCTCAGGTTTCCAATCGTATGTTTTATGTGTGTTGTCAGGAAGGAGCGACCGGTCTCTCTGGGGGTTTTCTCATTGCCGGGAAGCGATGCGATGAGCCCGGATCTGCATAGGGAATCTGTGGAGACTCCAGGGACAGACACATGGAGATATAACAATCCCAGCCACCCTCGGTCCAACACCAGCCTCAAGGTGAGAAACACACCGATTTACACATTGTTTACTTGTATTACAGCAGTGTGGGAGCGTATGGGGAGAAATTGACGTCATTTTTAAAGTCCACCTGTGGTGAAAATCCAGCTTTTAATGTTGTTTATGTGTCTATGTGTTGTTTTTAATATGCTTTAAGACAAACCATGTGTAAGTTCATAAGTCGACAGCATTGCTGAGTATTTCCTCCTTAAAACTGCAGTGAACCAAAGACAGTCTCAAAAACACGGTTTGAAATCGCTGGTGTTTCTGACGTCACAAACGACCTTGTAACCAATCAGATCAACGTGTGATCGTCAACCAGTGGATCTCTGAGCTGAGGGAGTGAGTGGAGCCGGGGCTCATTTGCATATTCATAGAACCGCGCATACTAAATGAGGCGAGGGTGTCGAGTTACATTCAAGATATTTTAAGACATTTTTTGAAGGAAAACACGCCTTAATGTGTCATTTTGGTGATCAAAGATGAGTTTTAAGGGATAGAATGATTGACTACAGGGGGACTTTAAAGACATTAGGACTGGCTTGACAATATCGATTTCTCGATTTTACTCGATCTTTACCCAAGGTCTGTCTTTTGGTCTGTGCTGTTTTGAGTTGATGCAGAGACCAAACAAAACACTAAACATTATTTGTAGCGCCTGCCATCCAATAATTACAATAAGCTTTGATGCTTTTGGAATGAAATAAAGTCTCAGATTTCAAATTCTGTCAATATTAGCATAGAAGCATAGCACACAACAATGTGTGTTTGTGTCTGCTATATTTGTTAAGCTCTAAATTGCTCTTAAAAGAGAGAATGAAATATGTTGCATTATGTTGCTTGCCAATAAATAAAGATGTGACACTTTCTCACCTCTTAATCTCCCTCCCCTGTGAAGGCCTCCTTCCCTTTACCTCTGTACTGATAATCGTTGTCGGGATAATTCCGGTTCACGTGGCTATAATAAATTATAAATTTTAAGGCCAGACGAGTAGTTTGTTGAGGGTTGGTTTTTTAGGGAAGGTCTACACGCCTGCGCACATATATTCAAACGCGCATACCTATAGACTTAACTCTTAATACGCATGTGCACGCCATCAGCGTTCTCACAGGTTCACGTTTTTAAAGTTTGCGTAGAGAGAACTTAACTGTTAAAACGGTGTCGTGTTAGCGCCCCCTAAGTTAATAACTAATGATCTTTGCAACGGAAGTGAATCAATCAAAACTAACTTTATCTGGACAATAACTTTATTCTAGAGCTGTCATAAAGCCAAAAGAATCTCTATTGCTTTAAAGCAACACCAAGTAGCTTTTCCTCAGCGGTCGCCCTACAGGTTGGAAGTGGAATTGTCCATTACCGCTGTCGTAAATACTTTAGCCTAGCGCAGCCTACTGTCGCACGCTCGCTCGTGTTTATCCAGCACCGGCTTTGGAATGAATGTCCACAGACAAGCTAGAGTATGAAACATGATTTCATGAAAGTATGATGTATTGCGACATCAGAAACGAAGAAAAACTAAATAATGACTATTGTAGCGCTTGACGTAAAGCAAGTCAAATTTGTAGTTTTCTTATGTCTCATCAGAACTACAGAAACGCGACCCGATCTGGCAATCTTACACAGCGTGGTTATAGCAGATATAGGATCCAGAAGTGCCTTTCACCCTGTTACGACTTAATGAACCACTGAAACCATTTTGGAAACATTATTTTAAGGTAAAAAATCTTACTTAGTGTTGCTTTAAATTTCCTATTATCACTGTAAAGCAGCTTTGGAACAATCTACATTGTTAAAAGCGCTATATGAATGAGGATGAATTGACTTGACTTCATTTTTTTTATACTTAAAAAACATTGTTGTTAAGAATAGTCTTTTTCGGTGACCAGAATCGGTTATCAGATCAGCCAGTACGGCTTCCAGTGATGTGTAATCGGCAATCTGCCCCAAAAATCCCGATCGAATCACCCTTAACTCTACCGGATATATATCAAAATGAATCAATAGTTAATCAAGATCAGAATCGAATCAAGAGCTTGCGAATCGAAATTGAATCATGAAGTGTGTGTCAATACACACTTACAACATTATTAATCTTTAGTAGGGCCGGGTGTCATCACAGCAGAGGCTGTTATCAGCTTCCCAGAAACTGAACATGGGTTTTTAGGGAATAAAGGCGATGACGACACAGTTCGTTAGTATTGAGAGAGAGAGAGAGAGAGAGAGAGAGAGAGAGAGCTTCCCCCTCTGAAAGGAACGTATGTTAAAGAAGCCTGAGCGAACACTGCCAGTGGGAAGGAAGCTGTTTCTGAGTGTCTGCTGTGCCCTGCATGCTTAAGCAGAGCCCTAACAAGGCCCAGAATGCTGTGCGCTCCTCGCTCTGGAACCTTCCCTGTCCTACAGAGATCCACGACTCGAGGCCCCTTCATACATATTCATGTTGATGAAGTAATCATTTGCCTTCAACCTCTTCAACAAACCACTCAACTCATGTGCACTATTTTTTTTTCACTATGTTGGTTACAAGAAAGTTGTATTTTAGTCAAAATTTTTGTTACTTTCCATTTTAGTGCACTTTTACATGTTTTTAGTGTGTAATGTTGCTGTTTGTGCGTGAAAAAGCTCTGCAAAGTTATAAAGCATAAATGAGTCAGTGTGAAACGCCTCCAATTGTAGTCTTGAGTTTCTCCCGGGAACGAACACGTCAATATATTCCTTATTTAAATAATTAATGCGCAGAATAAAGGGGCGGGGCCTGGTTGAGTTAGTTAGTAGTGTGTTAAACTGGCGGTTATGGTAATTAGGGGCGGGACGTTTCCCAAACACACTCGAAGCGCTCGACCAATCACAACACACTGCCCCAGCCGACCAATCAGAGCACAGTGTGCTTTCAGAAGGAGGGGCTTCATAGAGACAGGAAGTAAACAGAGCGTTACTGACAGACTGGGAAGAGAGGAGCCGCAACAATGGAGAATATGAGGAAAATAAAGCAGGAAAACCTGCTCTAGTCGAGCCCAAGACTTTGTAAAAGGGCGTAATAGATCTTAATTATTTGTGAAATTTACTATATAGTAGGGTTGTCACTCAAATTACCCAAATTTTCACTATTTTTAGGAACAAATGTCATTTTGGGAAAACCCATTTTGATCTACTGCTAGACTAGATCTGAATCCTCTCCTCTCCCCTTATTCACATTGTTTTCGTCAGCAGTGATGGCATTGTGGGTTTCTAGAATAGCCTGACCTTGAAGCCCGTCTCAATCTAGGCCTGATGCAGGAGTTTTTGAAGGATGCCGGTCATATTTCAGCTGTCAGTCTGATGAGGAGACACACAACACAGCCAAAGACTTTAGATATACCAAGAGAGTGCACTCCTATTACTAATAAATGGGAGAAAGTGCAACATGAGCCACCAATTAATGTGCATGATTGTGCAGAGAGGTAGGTGCTACACCCAGACAGAAACAGCCCACCGTTTGGCAGCTTATCTCTTTCTTCTGAGTTTTATGAATAATATTATCTATTCTGCTTCATCCCTATTACATCAGCATTACTGGACGAGTTTCTGAACAACGAATAGGTGTTGTTGATGCTTTCATTAGTCTGATATCAGAAATTTGTGGAGGCTCAACCCATTTTTTAAATCATTTTTATTTTCATTACGGAGCCTGAAAGTTATTAGGTATTAGGGCTGTCAAATAAAAATAAAAATTCAGAATATTTGTTGAATAAATAAAAAACTGCACATTCGAATGCAAAAAACGTGCATTCAAATTTTTGGTGTCAAGAGGCGCGCGAGACATGCTGATGACATCACTGACGCGGTTTGTTTTTGTTAGCTTATCCCGTATAAATCGTGCAACAACATACTTGACCAAACCTGCACATCGTGTGTGTGTGTGTGTGTGTGTGTGTGTGTGTGTGTGTGTGTGTGTGTGTGTGTGTGTGTGTGTGTGTGTGTGTGTGTGTGTGTGTGTGTGTGTGTGTGTGTGTGTGTGTGTGTGTGTGTGTGTGTGTGTGTGTGTGTGTGTGTGTGTGAGTGTGTGTTCATCAGCTGGAAACAGTCAACAGAAAGCGCTCAGGACTCGCTCAGATCAAGTGGACCGTCTGGTGTTTTTGACGAACAATATATAGATGTAGCGAGTAGAAGTGGAGTGTTTCTGAATGTCTGTTGTGTGTTCGTGTAGTTCATTACGCGTCTCTCGAAGCGTGTTTCCTCAGGTTACTGATGCACAAACACAGGTTTATGCACTCTTGTAACCTAATTTTCCTTGCATGCACATTAAGGAAATTATATTTGATTTAAGAAAAAAAATTCTAAATTTAATGCATTTTTAAAAAGTGAATGTCATTTTAATTTCAATAAAAGATGCGATGCTTGATTTGGTTTATATTTGCTTATTGCACTCTCTTGCGCCCTCTTGTGGGCATAGGAGACAACACCGCACCTTTTCTCCCTGTAACATTAAGTAGTGACGTTAGAATTCAAATAAATAAATAATAATATTTAAGAATTCGAATTTAGCTTTTCAGCCATTTTGACAGCCCTAGTAGGTGTGCATCAGGCTCTCCAGTTAATATTTGATATCTCATTATAAGGCCAGTGAGTTTCAGAAGCACAAAGGCTCCATCACACTCCCACTGTGGAGGGATACAGACTGGCCTTTGTGCGCTTCATGACTCTGCATTTCTCTCTATATCATCCTCCAGAGTCTCGGGCTTCTGGGAGAGATGAGAAACTAGGCCATGACTTGCTGTCAGCCTGTCCTCAGGTTAAACGCCTCTGAGGAAAAGTGGGCACATTCTGCCATGGAAACACCAGAGAGTCGGGGAGCATCTTGCAAAGGGTTGTTGTTTTGTGCGCGCTTGTGCTTTTGTTGGCTTGTGCGCATATGTCAGTGAGAAAAAAACTCTGTGCTAGCTTGTGTAAAACCTATTGTTGGTTCCTGCCACTCGCTGTGGATTAGTTGCTCTTCCATAACCGATTGATTTTACGGAGAGCT